GCCTTAGCCGGTTGAGCTATAGGCGCCGAGCCCATTTGTCTATTTTTTAATGAAAGAGCAAGCCTCCCATCTCCTTTCTAAATGTGTCTCTGATCAAATTCCTTGTTAGTTTTCATAAAATACGCCCATAAATTTTTGTAACTTTTCATTTTTTAAAGCAGACTAAGAAATTTTAAACTAGAAAAACAATAATTTAGAACCTGTTTCTTTATCTATGAGTTTTTAAATTGTGTCACCTGCATAAATTTAACAGCATTTTTTTTTTTGAAGCAGAATCTTACTCTGTCCCCCAGGCTAGAATGCCATGGCCTCAGCCTAGCTCACAGCAACGTCAAACTCCTGGGCTCAAGCAATCCTTCTGCCTCAAGCCTCCCAAGTAGTGGAGAATACAGGCACACACCACCATACCCAGCTAATTTTTCTATTTTTAATAAAAATAGGTTCTCACTCTTGCTCAGGCTGGTTTTGAGCTCCCAACCTCAGGTGATCTTCCTGTCTCAGCTTCCAGAATGCCAGGATGATAGGTGTGAGCCACCATGCCCATTCTTTTTGTATTTAATTAGCTTTTATAATTAAAATAACTACAACTGACATAAACAGGTATGGGAAAAAAACATAAACTCTTGGTAAATTTAAACTTCACATAGCAGGAGTAGAAGTATATAGAAGAAACAGGATTTGGAGAATAATAACCTGTTAAACGTGAATATTTAGTATGTTTGGGCATGAGTCAGTATGCTTTACACAGCTATGGAAAATGTCACTAATCCTTTGATTTGGATAAATTGAGGTCCGTTAAGAGACCTACTATTAACTCCCAAAATCTGCTAAGATGGCAGAATTCAGTAGAGGCCATTTCTGTCCAGAGGGTCAGTCTTCTCAGGATATATTACCTTAGAATTTTTACAAATTCTTCAAGTAAAGATTTTAATAGATTCCAGAGTTTTCAAAGAAATATTTTTCTTATTGAATGAAAGCAGTGTAAGTTGTATTAGCTGTATGATTTGGGGTTTTGAATTTAAATACTAATCATTTTTCTATCAGTTGATTTTTTTTTTATTTGTTTAAATATGTGTTGTTCCATACTTTATTTTACAGTGGTACAGAAAAAAAGAAAGAAAAACCACAAGGACAGAGAGAAAAAAAAGAGGAATCTCATTCTAATGATCAAAGTCCACAAATTCGAGCATCACCTTCTCCCCAGCCCTCTTCACAGCCTCTCCAAATACACAGACAAACTCCAGAAAGCAAGAATTCTGCTCCCACCAAAAGGTTTTAATTGTCCCTAAGTACAGGTCTAGGGAATGGTTGTAATGATACCTAAATTCTGTGCCTTGGGAAAAAGTTGGCTACTTATGGATTCCAGGAAAAAAACTGGTGACTTTTTCCCCCCTTCATTGTTAAAATCTATGTTTTATAGCACATCGGGGAATAAAGATTTAAGATCAACAATTCTCAGTTAAAAGTGGAAAAAACACTAAATTGTAAACAATCCAATGAAACAAAGGCAGAAACAATCTGCTATAAAACCAAAACAATATTTTTATAATAAATTTTTAGTTTATATATAACTATGTGTAAATTTATAGCTGTTGATAGAAAATGGCCATACGTAATTAACCTTACCATATTTTGGCATCATTACAACCTTCAACATGCTAGGGCCCTTTTCAACCAATAACTCTTCATTGTGGCTGCATCTCAGTTTCAGTTTTGGGTCTTGGGAGGATTAGTTCTTGCTAGAGTAGAGAAATAAATCCATTTCACTTGGTCTTTTCTTTGCTTAAAGGCTTGCTTGAGGGCTTCTCTCTGTGTCTATAATAATTAATATTTTAAAGTTATGAGAGGGGGAGAAGGGAGAACCATTCTAATGCTGTGTTTGAGCCTAAATTGGGGATCTAAAACTGCATGCTGCGAGTTCAGTGCTACAGCTGCCTCATAATCAAATATTGAGACAAACTTAATTAAATTTGCCTGTTTAGAAATGCTGATTCAAGCTTTATGATTAGGTATAAATATATTTTATCATACTTCTGTTTGGAAATCATAGGAAACTATTAAACCATTTCTAGTACTGGCTAGAATTTTAGTAAAATAAATTATTTCTAAAAGGTTTATATTTTTATTTGATCAGTTTAACATTTTGCTTCAAGTGTCTAATGGAAATTTGGGAAACCAAAATACCCTTCACTTGATTGATGCATGTGTACTATTTACAAAATGCTTTATCTGTGTATCTCACGCATCTAAATGGTTTGTGATTCTTCTGCCTTGTCTCTTGTGGAGTTTTTCTTGGATAATAGCTTATTAATGTTCTGCAACTTTGGATTGTTTGTTGGTTAAAGGTGGCTTTTGATAATCAATCTCTTTAAGTTTCTTAAAGATTTGACTTGGTATCTACTATGTCCCAGAATCTTATTTCCAGCTTCTTGAGATCTCCTGGAAATGTGCTTGCCTTTCTAAATTGCTCTTTGAATTTACAATTGCAAGAAGTGTTGAAGACTGGATGAGCTTGAGGATAATTAACAATGCAGCAAAAAGTTGTTAGAAATATAGGAAGTTATCCTTAGTAATACCATGTTTTTGTGCTACATCTTGTTTATTTCTGATAATGGGTAAAATTGTCTCTGAAGATATAAACAAGAATTTTACTTTTAGTCCCACAATTTATTCAGAAATTGTTATTTGTACCATGAATACATAATTACTTAAAAAATAAAAATGGTATCCTTGTAATTGGCTGTGAAAAAAATACAGGTGTTTTATAACTACAAATTATGAGAAATATTACTCAGATTTTTCTGTTAACACAAAAGGTTTAGTTTGTTTGTTTGTTTGTTTTTAAAAGAGTTTCATGTCACCCTCGGTAGAGTACTGTGGCGTCACAGCTCACAGCAATCTCAAACTCTTGGGCTTAAGCGATTCTCTTGCTTCAGCCTCTCAGGTAGCTGGGACTACAGGTGCCCACCACAACACCCAGCTTTTTTTTTTTTTTTTTTTTAATACTTATCATTGTTTAGCCGGCCTATGCTGGGTTCAAACCTTGTGTATGTGGCTGGCACCCTAACTGCTGAGCTGCAGACTACAAGCCAAGGTATAGTTTTTTAACACAGGTAATATTTGTCCTAGTGAATTTGCTGAACCGTATGGAAAATTATAAAATGGACTTGGTAATTGCCTTGTTTAAATCCTTCACTCATCCAAGCAGAGCCTTTCAACTAATCCTTCCTTCTTTTTTCTGGATTAGCTTTAAGGAAATGTTAATTGCTGCTTTTGTGTTCTATTTAAACTATCAGTTACATGTCTTTGCTAGTTTGAATTTTTCTCTAAGAAATTAATATGTTTCTTCTAGTATAAAACGACCATCAACAGCTGAAAAGTCACATAATTCATGGGAAAATTCAGATGATAGTCGTAATAAATTATTGAGAACAGCTTCAACATCAAAATTAATATCAAAAGTTATAAAAAATGCAGATAAGTAAGTATTGTTTTTCTGTTATATCTGAAAATTAATAATTTTGTGACTCACATTTGCATGTACAATTATGTATGTCTAGTTAGAATCTTTTTTTAAACTATATTATAATTTGTATAGTATTTATATAGTAATCCTGTAAGATACAAGTATTTTTTATGAGGGTATTTTGGGGGAGCTTTAAGGGGGCGTTTTTTGTTTTTTTGTTTTGTTTAAAAAGAGATGAGATCTCCCTCACTCTGTTTGCCCAGGCTGGAGTGCAGTGGCACAATCAAAGTTTACTGCAGCCTTGATCTCTTGGGCTCAAGGGATCTTGCCTCAGTAGCTGGGATTATAAGCATGCACCACATAAATTCCTTTTGTGCTTTCACTATTTAGGTGATCTTAGGTGATTCATTATTCTATAAAATAGTGTATATTAGTAGTTGAGACCAGTGAGAAACTAAAAAACAATATTGATTCCTTATTTTACTTCTAGAGATGTATCTGGTTAATGGTCTAGGCATTGAAGCTTTTACATTTTCTTCAAGTGATGCTAATGGTCAACCATATAAAATTATATAATAAATGTGTTCTTTGAACTCCTTTTTTAGGCATAAAGATGTCATCATCAACCAAGGTAAATTAAAAATATTTTTTAAAAAATATTTATTTTGCTTTTCTATGTCAGTTTAATTTTTGCTAATTGATAAAAATACTGATTATTTTCATTAAGTGTACTTTATAACTTCATAGTAATCAAAGAGAAGACATTGCTATAGTCAGTTTTTAAAATGCCCAATTTTTATTGTAAGATATGTCATTTTTGTCTTAACCAGCAAAAATATCAACCCGTGAAAAAAACAGCCAAGGTAAGAATAAGCTATGCAGTTGGTCGCCTTCTAATTTCTTCCTGGATCTCTTATTTGGCTTTTCATTATTTATACTACCTGACATTCCTCTGATCAAAGGAAGTATCATTGTAATTGGTACTAGTGAATCCAACTACATTTAAAAAATTTCATCTTATTTCTTTGAGAGCTAAATATTCAAAGTGAACAGTAAAATTAAATATAGCATTACGAAAAGGAATAAGGTACTAGAGGGAGGTTCCTCCTTTAAAAAAAAAAGTTATACTTGGAAAAGCCATTTAAAAGATTGATAAATTTTAACTCAATTTCCTGTCTTGCCAATCTCATTGCGGTAATCACTCATTTCTTGATGCTAAGACTGAAAGTATAATGAGTCTAGCAAATCCATTTCCTCTTAAAATTTTCTTTCATATTACTTGATATTAATTAATTGTAATTTCTGGCTACTTGCTGTTGTTGGCTTGTTCTGACCAAAACAGGAGAGCATACTTTTTACAGATGTGCATTTAGCTTAATTACGAAGTAGGTAAGTTTTGTGCATCAGTTTTACATTTTTGTAGGTTGCCTGCAGACTTAATGGACGCATGCTGTTGTAAAGGGAAGCATGTCCTTTCTGTGCATGCTTCTCCCAGCTCACCTCTGTGTGTAGTGGTTATCTCTGTTTCCTGGGCTATTATGGTAACCAGCTGCAGTATAGTTGTAATTTTTATTAGAAATTTAACTTCATTTCTATGGATTTTTACTTTCTTTGGTTCTAATTAGAAAGGAGATATTTATTTCCAATCTTCTTTGCATCATTTGTTTTTACATAGAAATTCTAAATGAAGTTGAATTTTGGTGGCATTCTTCTCCTTTAGTTCTTACTTTCTTCTTTCTTTATAATACAATATAGATTTAAAAATGATTGAGATGCTTTAAGGAAAAAATGTAATTTGTTTATGAAGGCAATTCTCACATTATATATGAAAACATTTTTTAAAAATCAAGGCAGTAATATGTAGTAGAAAGAGCAATAAAAGGGAAATTGCTGTGTTTAATATTTGGTCCTGACACTTCTGCATAACAGCCTTATGAGTTAGGCCAAATGACAATGTCTTTTTTTTTTTTTTTTTTTT